GAAAGTGACACCTTGCAGAGTCACCTTGTCACCTTGCAAGTGCAGCAGCTTTTTCAATAAAGCACATAAATGTCTGATTTGTCTTAGTCACCTGTTCATAAATTGATCATTTGTTTTTATATATTAGTTTCCCATGACTCTATAGTATACTGAAATGTTTAGCTCTGAGTTTATTATCAAGTCCACAATTTCCTCTAATATCCCAGGTTTAACTGCATATCCAAAGTTCCACTTGTATTTAAATGGGATCAGCTGGAAATCTCTTGAAAAAATATTTTATTTGCTAAATGCCAAATACTATCATTTTAAACATAAAAGTCGTTTTAATAGTTTTAATCCTTAGCCAGCTGCTTTATATATGGGGTAATCGCCTGATTTACATAATGCTAATGATGTCATGTGTGCCAGAACCATGCGCACGTGGCAAGTATAATTTTGTTGTGGTACATGCTCCACTGAAGCCAAAGGAAAATATGTCAAATGACATGTACAGTGTTTATGTTATGGTTTACAAAAAAATAAATCTGAAAATGAATCAGGTGAAGGCTGAAAGGGGCACGGCAAATAACACGCTTGCTAAGGAGACGTTAGCAGTTTAAACATAATTACACATGTCTAATACAGTTAAAAATGCTGTCAATCACCCCTACAGTGAACCTATTACACATCACTAATGGGAGCTAATTCCTATGCTGTAAGAGAAGTCACATGATAAATCATGTTGAATACAGCAGAAGGTTTACACTGTATAATGCTTCATTGTCAATCATACAGATACCTGGTATATAGTATTAACTGTACTATATTAAACAGTATTTCATAGAAAAGTAGCACACGCTGTTGAAGGTCCATTTTTTTTTTTTAAACTTAACATAATATGAAAGTGGTCAGGTTACTCCGATGTCCTCGATAGATAGAACTCGCGTTTGTCTCCCTAGAGTATCATGTTATCGTCTCCTCCCATTGTCATCCAAAACTTTCACTTATAGTTTTATGCCAGTCAAAGACACGCTGTCCTACTTTTTGTAATGGTTCCTGTGCTGTCTCATCCAAGGAAACGATACATTACACTAAATGGCTAACTCACTAAGCAGTGCATTGCAGCAAATTGACATCTAAATTTCTGTCCTAATAGTCAATTTGAAATTTTACCAATCTAGCTATAATGGCCTAAATTTTAGTAATTTAGTAAATACACTTCACAGCATAGTTCAAAATTAGTTTTAGCATTTATTATCTTGTGTGTCAATTTTCCTTAAAATGTTAGTTTTTGGTAAGAATGAGCAAACCACAAAGGAAACAGACTCTAATATTTATTTCTTTGGTACATTCAGTGAAACCACAAGACCCAATTTTCAGAGATTTTCATTAATTTATCCCACAAGCTGTGGTTTGTGAGGTGATAAACCAGCCCACATTATCTTTCGCTAAAGTTTATGTTTATACATATGTTTATTTAAAAGATACAAGTGTTCTGTTTTAGACATTCTTTCCAGTATTTTGGTAACTAGACAGGCAAACACATATAGAGGTAAGTGTTCTGTGGGAACAGGTAGCAAACGATAATTAAAGTTACAATTTTATTTTACGGATGTTTCTAAGGACGTGCAATGTCAAAATCCTATCATTCTATGAGAGAAGCTCCTTAATGTTTATCAATTTCCTCAGTTTCTTTAAGAAGTCAATGTTAAAACTTTTAAACATGTATAGCCACTCTAAATTACTCTTACTTCCAAAGTGAATTTTAAATGTAATTCAATTAGAATATTATTGTAACATTTATGATGCAGAGAGTACCTTAACCAATTCTCATCACTGAGAGTGGCTTATGACTACAGTGTTTATTAAAAATCATTGCAGTTATAAGACAACCCCCAGAGCTGTCAGTCAGGAAATATGAAATATTGGCTGCATATTTTAATTTTGTCCAAGGTGTGTGTGCACTGCTCACACAAGAACATAGCTGAGCACAGGGCCGGACTGGGAAAAAAATTAGGCCCGGGCATTTTTCAATCAGAGCGGCCCCCTAAGAAGGGGGCGGGGCCAGAGAGTGTGTGTTTTGTCATCACTAATGACAACACGCCCCCTCTCAAAGTGAGCATGTTGGTTCAATGCCCAGAGCCCCGCTGAAGAGCTCTGGCATTAGAAAAAGGCCCTGAATTTGTTCTGCGCAGCGCAAGCAAATGAAATAACATGCTTGTGCTGTGTTTGCTTTTAAATTGTCCCTGGTGTCTCCACAAGTGGGATACCAGAGGACAAATGGAAAGTGCATGGTGCATGTGTTTGGAGCCTGCTTGTGGGATTGCGTGTGTGTAGAGTGTGGTGTGGTATTGTGTAGGTCAATTTAATTTGTGTTTGTGGTGTAATATGTGTGGCTAGGGGCTGTAGAGAGTGTGTGTATAGGGGGCATAGTTTTATAGGGGATGCAGCGAGTGTGTGCATACTGGCTGAAGTGTGTGTGTATAGGTGACGTAGTGTGTGTAGGGGTTGCAGAGAGGGT